GTAATTCGATTCGGGAAACGAGGCAAACTAAACCCACGGTATATAGGACCTTTTGAAATTCTAGCAAGAATTGGTTATGTCGCATACCAACTCAAGTTGCCTCAAGAGCTAAGTAGTGTGCACGATGTTTTTCACGTATCAAATATCAAAAGATGTCTTTCCGATGACACTCTTGTTATACCTCTCGAAGAGATACAAGTCAATACGAAACTCAACTTTGTAGAAGAACCTGTTGAGATTATGGATCGAGAAGTCAAACGATTAAAGAAAAGTCGTATTCCCATAGTGAAAGTTCGATGGAACTATTTACGAGGACCTGAATTTACTTGGGAACGTGAAGATCAGATGAAAGAAAAATACCCCCAACTGTTTGACGAAACCCCATCCATACGATAAATTTCGGGACGAAATTATTCTAACGGGGGGAGAATGTAACACTAGTCAAAATAGGTCAATAGACCATCACATGTGATTATGCCAATCATGTAATGTGATTATGTTAACATAGTAATGTGATAAGAGTGCTATGTAGTTCATGATAAATTCTAATACAAATATGAACTTTCTTTATGATACAACTCAAAGTATACGCCCATACGATTCCAAAAATATAGAGAATGTCTGAATCTGACTTCGCATGAAGAAGTTATGATAAACCGAACACTATAAATCTCTATAATAAGAGGAATTTAAAACAGACTTAGAATTAGCTATTTGAGTCTAAAAGAGAGTTGTAGTACTTGTAAATACCTACGCGTGCATATAAAGAACGTTAAAAACGGAGTTCGTATGTGAAAGTTACGACCTTCCGAAGATTAAGTTGTCAGAAACCCTAATCTGACTCAGCTCACGACGTGGGCACAGAGCCCACGACGTGGGGAGTCAGTTATCCACATCTCAGAATCTAGAAGGTGTGTGACGAGGCTGCGAGGGGATAAGATCCAAGTTCACGACGTGAGCAAAGATATCCCACGACGTGATGAGTCACATGACACCTTCCGAAGCTAGGGACGCAAATGGCAAGTCTACGGGGATAAGATCTTAAGCCACGACGTGGGGGTCCAAAATCCCTACTATAAATAGCAGGTCCGACCTCAGCCATTCTTACACTTAAACTTCTTTCTCCTCTCTCCTTTGCTGAGGCTATCTTACATCCTGAGCCCCGACGACCTCGTACGCTGACCGTTTTGCTTAGATAACATAAAATCACGCTGCTAGGGTGAGTTTCACGGCCCCACTTTCTAATATTTCGGGGGAAAACGCATGCTAAATATTATATATACGTTATTATTATGTCTATATGATAGTATATTAGTATCAACGTAGATAGTTATAATAACAGGGATATAGGTATTTCGTATCTGAAAGTATACAACTATTGTAAAGTTGTTAGCATGTTATTGTTATAATAGTATACTAATGTAGATCTTGAGTTATACTTAGGATTCTATATATATATATATATATATATATATATATATATATATATATATGTTGTGTGCGATATAGTTCCGAAGTTATATTCGGAAGTTCTATATGTTAAGTTATAAAGTATGTTGCTATTATTGGTTTTATGTCAAGATAAAACTGGATATGTTATATGTTGTTATTGTTAATTTTATGTCAAGATAAAACTTGGTATTGTTATTGGTAGTTTTATGTCAAGATAAAACTAGGAACGTTATATGTTGCTATTATTGGTTTTAGGTCAAGATAAAACCTGGTTTTACTTCAAGATATAACTGTTATACTGCCTAAATATTATGAAGTTAGGAGTAATATTTAAAAGCATAGTCTAGTAACTTAGGGTTTTAGACATGAAAATGCTTTTGTTGTTAGAGCTATAGGAAGTCGTCGAAGTCTACATGAGTAATTGTATTCATCAACTAAGATTGGGGATCTTAGCGGAAATCCTCTGAACTGTAACTGTTAATCCCGTGTGAGCGAGGAAGTCGTGTATAATTAGTATACGGGTTGACCACCCCACTTGTGACTGTTAGCTACAGTCAACCAAAAGCGAGTGATGAACTATCCTTTTATTTGTTATTGTTCCGGCGTCGATGAAGCGTACGGTGTTGTTTCTCATGGTAAATCATGAGTGTGTTTGTTTCTCATGGTAAATCAAGAGTGTGTTCTATCAGAGGTATTATGTCATAGCAGCGGTTATAGGCTCATGGTATCAAATTGTTAGAAACATTATACTTTGTCGTATACAAGTATTAATGTTAAGTATAAGTTTCCCCCTACTTATACCTTAGGATTAAGGAATGTTTAGGTATAACACTTAATTGATAAGTAAACTATTATACCTAATATACATACTAAATGTTGGAGAGTCAAAATGATACTTTCAAAACTATACTTTTGAACGTGGAAAATGTATTATTTTATGGAGTCAAAACATGTGGACTCACCAACTTTATGTTGACGTATTTTAAAATGCATGTGTTTTCAGGAACTTGAAAAGCTGGTATGTATTCGAACAGAAGAAGTTTTACTATTACCTTTCTGTTCATTAAGAAGTATGCCATAGTCGGATATCATGTAATAGGTCCTAGAAAAACAGTTATGTAACTTTCAGTTATCAATACAGGTATGTATTTTCTTTAGTATTATTCAATGTATGTTATATAACTGTGATACGAAGAATACCGTTACACTACCCGGTGTTTCCGCCGATGGCTGGGGGTGTGACATATGGTATGTGGTATTTTGGGGTACCCACTAAGCTTTGTGCTTATAGTTTTATGTTTAAATATTTCAGGTACTTCTGGTTCCAAAGGGAAGAGTCCGACATGATTGCATACCATCCACATGAGATTTCATTCTTATGATTTTGTTACTACTCTAATGTTATTGGAAATACTTTTCATACTGTCACTTATTTTGAAAGTAATGAATGAATGTTTTGGTTGATTTAAAAACAAAAAAATTATTTAGTATTTCTGGGACGTTACAAGACAAAACGAATCTGGTTACCATGTAACTTTGGACTTTAAAGCCACCAACTTAACCAACCCATAAAAATTGATATCATCCGTTAGTATACATCATAACATGTGTGATCTAGAGCAATATAAGGCATAAAATCGTCTGTTTGTTCTCATTGTCTTTCGCTACAAACATGTACTCTAATAAACCGATTGCATATTCCCATTTTCACTAATAGAAATATAGATGAAAAACTCCTCTAAACAGTTTCTAAAACAATATCTATAAAATGTAGGGATGAGCATATGGACCGGGGAACCGGCCGGAACCGGTACCGGAACCGGAACCCGATGGAACCGGTCGGGCCGGGACCGGTACTATAATCTCGTCAATTTTTGGAACCGGGACCCGATAAGAACCGGTCGTTGGAACCGACCCAAAACCGGGAACCGGACCGGATAACTCACTCAAATTTTAAAAGTTGTATAACTCACTCAATTTAACTTCTTTTGACATGAATCTTTTTCCTACATGTAGATTATGATTTTTACTTAAGTTTAGACTATAAAAACGCTTAATTTGGTTAAAAATTGAATGACTTACAAGCCCCGCAAGGAAGGGTATCAAATCATAATTTTTTTTATGTTTCAACAATTAAATGTAATCTGACTTTGTTGTTCAAATGTGCATAACTCACTCCATTTAACTTGTTTTGACTTGAATCTTTTTCCTACATGTAGATTAGGATTTGTAGTTAAGTTTAGACTATAAAAACGCTTGATTTGGTTAAAAATTGAATGAGTTACAAGTCCCGCAAGGAAGAGTGTCAAATCAGAATTTTTTTTATGTTTCAGCAATTAAATGTAATCTGACTTTGTTGTTCAAATGTGAATAACTCACTCAATTTAACTTGTTTTGACCTGAATCTTTTTCCTACACGTAGATTAGGATTTTTAGTTAAGTTTAGACTATAAAAACGCTTGATTTGGTTAAAAATTGAATGAGTTACAAGCCTCGCAAGGAAGGGTGTCAAATCATAATTTTTTTATGTTACAGCAATTAAACGTAATTTGACTTTGTTGTTCAAATGTGCATAACTCACTCAATTTAAGTTTTTTTGACCTGAATCTTTTTCCTACACGTAGTTTAGGTTTTGTACTTCAGCTTAGACTATAAAAACGCTTGATTTGGTTAAAAATTGAATGAGTTACAAGCCCCGCAAGAAAGCGTGTCAAATCAGACCGGTTCCAAAATCGAAACCCGACAAAAACCGGACCCGGACCCGGAACCGGTAGAACCGCCGGGCCGGTTCGGTTCTTGATTTTGGCCGAAGCCGGTTCCCGGTTCGGGTCCGGGTCGGGCCGGTTCCGGCCGGTTCGGTCCGTTTGCTCATGCCTAATAAAATGGATCAATAAATGATCTATAAAGCTGATTTTAGTTACTTTGGAATGTCTCTCTTGAATACCATAAAATCCATTGATATAGACTAGAATAATGTCAGTCCAAAACGTGCGATGTTGGGAATGTACGATATCAAAATTTGAAGTTACTTTATGTCATATCTCACTGACCAACCCTCAACTCCATAATGGTTATAAGAAGTGTGTAATGGACAGTTCAGAGAAGTAGTTATTTTGTCAATTCCAAACTAAAACAATTATTTTTGTTAATTAACTCGTATATTTTAGTTAGTTTAATCGATATTCCAAAATACATAACTATTTTCTAAAAATTGGTGAAAACAAGGTTCTAAAAAGCTCGTTATGGCTTCAAAGCTTGTACTTGATGCCAAATTTTAACAAAATGTCGACTTAAGTTATATATGTATATAAAAATAAATAGTAGAAAAAATATATAAAATTATTAATTATATACAAAATTATTGTCTTAAATCACGCCTTATAAACAATATGACTCGTCACAGCTCGTAAAAACTTGAGACTTGACATTGCCGCTAAATCACGACTAACATTATTTAGAACGTTGGGCGAAATACATTTATCCTAATTTTTTATGTTAAAAATGTACCATTTTAACATATATTTTTTATTATGTTATGGGCTTACACCCAAATCCACCCGTTGAAACAAACTCAACGCTTGATCAATCACTTTCTAGTCACAATCACCTTGCATCAATTCGTAGCTCTCTCGTGAAACAGAGAAGACTCTACATACCTGCATCGACGCGAATTTGAATGCGATCTCTCCAGAAAACCCACCTTCTCATCTCCGTCTGTTTAATCTTTCTGTGACTAGGGTTTCGAGTTTGATCTAGGTTGTAATTGCAATTGCAAAGAGCTCGGCGTGTTTGATTTTCTGTTCTCAAGGTTTTCCGGTAATTTGATTCATCCAAAGCTCATAATTTAAGCGACATGAATGTTGAACCTCAGTGCAGTTTATGTAGGGTTCTTGATTAGTCACTTTAAATCTCTTTTCCTTATGTTTATTTTGTGAAATTTTCGGGGAAAGTTAGTTCCCTTTTCTAAATGAAAGTATAATACTTTCTGGCGTGATGTCACCTTCGACTTTGATGAACGATAATGCCATTTCCTAGCATCGGAATTCGATCAAATTCCCATACATGGCGATTTAGGAAATTTTTTCATTTCTTACTGTATAAGAGTTTCTGATTTATGTTTTGAGAGGACCAATTCAAATGTGCAGAATTAGAGCTTCCATTCCAATTCAGGCGAATCTGTAACCCTACCTTCTTCCAATAGTAAACCCTTTTATGTTTTTCTTATTTCCATCAATTAATGTACGTTTTCTCAAATCCATTGTAGGATGGTTGTAGGATACTTCAAGCTGTATTCCTTTGAGTAATGGGAAGCAGTGAGATGGATAAACCCGCCAAGGAGGCAAAAGACTCCACAAAGGAGCCAAAGACAGCAAATTCCCAAGTGAATTTCTTTCTCTTTATCCATTTTTAGGCTTATAAAGGCATTGTTGCATAAACATTCTCCATATTTATGTAGCTACAATGTACTTTGGTAACATAGATTTATCTTGTATACTTTATTCAGGAGCAGACTTCAGGTACTGCCACTGGTACAGCCAATCCAGATTGGACAGGGTTTCAGGTTTCATCTAAAAAAATCTCAACTTTGATAATTTGGTCTTCTTAAGATTTGGGATATTTTACTAAATCTACGTGGTATATAAATTATAAAACATGAACAGCCTTATCCTCATATGCCTCCACATGGGTACATGGCATCAAGCCCTCAAGCTCCTCCCCCATACATGTGGGGGGTTCAGGTACTATGCTTTACAGATTCTTAATTTAGATTTATCTCACAATTACTATTCATCAGGGAACAATGAATCAACATTGTTGCAACAAAAGAAAAAAAAAACAAATTTGGTTTTCCTTGATGTTTTGGAAGATAAGCTTAAATAGATTATTACAATCTTTAATGAGAAAAGTCCATGCATTTGACTTTTTCAAACTCTACCAGTTATTTGGATAACATTGTTGAATCATAGATTCTCAATGCAAGAATATTCAACATAAATAGTTCCAAGTTCCAACTAAACATCATTGAATTATAACAGAAACTCCTATTTAGCTTAGAGAACATATTGCTTTTTAGTTTTTAGTCATTTCATCCTCAAATTATTTTCCATTTTTTTTTCTGATACCTATGTGCAATTGCAGCATCTTATGCCACCTTATGGTACCCCACCTCATCCATATGTTGCAATGTATCCCCCTGGTGGCATTTATGCTCATCCATCTATGCCTCCGGTATTTTCTTATTAATCATAATAATATATTAATATACTAAATTCTTTATTTTCTAAAAGACAATAATTATAAACTTCATTTTGTATTTACTATTTAACCAGGGGTCATATCCTTTCAGTCCATATGCAATGCCTTCTCCAAATGGTGTTGTTGAGGCTTCCGTGAGTTGCCTAAATTAATTTGATTTTTTTTAGAGTGAAAAATATAAACTTTTTGTTTATGAAATTTTGAATTCCATGTAGGGTAATAATACTCCTGGAAATACAGAAATTGATGGTAAGTCACCAGATGGGAAGGAAAAAGAAAAAGAAAAACTTCCAATTAAAAGGTCAAAGGGTAGTCTTGGAAGTTTAAATATGATTACTGGCAAAAATATTGAACAGAGTAAAACTGGTGCATCTGCTAATGGAGTTTATCCTAAAAGGTATAGTGAGTATATCCTTATACATTAGTTCTGTGTATATACAATTGGAAGAAACTCTGGAATTAGTTCTCTTTTGATTATTTATAATTGTGAGTTTTACTTTTTATTAATCTTTCTGAAATTAGTTCTATTTTTCTGATATTGGATTTTCAGTGCTGAGAGTGGAAGTGAAGGCTCAAGTGAAGGAAGTGATGGGAATTCTGAAAATGTAGGTATCATTGCAAAGTACTTTTTTACATTATACATGTTTATATGTTATTTTTTCTTCACATATCAAATACATTATATATCAAATACATGTTTTTTTTTTCTTCATATTCATACTCCAGTTTATGTAGTAATGAACCAAAAGATATTTATGTACGTATAAAAATTAGATCACTATACTTATGCAAATATAATCTTAATTTAGTTTTGCCATTCTTACATATTTAGCTCTATTACAAAGTATATGTGCATTCTTTATGTATATTCTCTTTTTATTTTCAATAAATTTCTGTTAATATTTTCAGGATTCACAAATGAAATCAGGATCCATTGAAGGTTTGAGCCAATAAATTTTCTTTTGCTTTATGTTACTAAAGCAACTTCTGTATAATATTACAATGACTTTTTAGCTACAGGGGAAGCTTCCCAAAATGGAAATTCGGGACATGTTTCTCAAAATGGAGGACCAAATGTGGGCAACAACCAAACAATGGTTGTGGGTCCCACAACCAACTTAAATATTGGTATGGATTACTGGAGTGGGACCAATTCCTCCAATGTTCATGGGAAGGTTACTTCTGCTCCAGTTGCAGGAGGGATGGTTACTACAGGTTCAAGGGACATGCAGTTGCAGCAGCCTTGGCTTCAGGTTCTCATTTTTTATTTTTAATTTTTAATTTTTTAAATTTTCATAGATTAATTATATAGACTGAATGCGACTAGACAAGCTTTCCAGGGTTATTTTGTATGATGAAATTGAGTATGAGGGTATTTATGTCTTTTTCCACAGACGAGAGCAATAAGAAAAAATTCAACTTTTGTCATGTAGTTATAATAATTGTAATATGTTATCATTGTTATATTATTATTAATTTGGTATTATATGGCATTCAGAGTATTCAAGATGTTCTTGGTTATGTTTTAAATATAGAGTACGAATCGATAATCAAGTACATTGTAATTTAATATTCGTTAAAAATGGTAGGGATTACAACTCTCTCTCTATATATTAATAGTATACAAAATTACAAACTATTGTTATTTTGTGGTTATATTAGCATACTGAAGTTATAAATTCATCACCACAATATTTTAATTTATTCACTTACCTAAATGGCTAAATCATAAAACCTTGACTGGAATTGAATTCCATTGAAATTCACAAAATCCAACCAATGCTGGAATTCATCTTTCCTTCAATAAACTCATGGAATCTAATTTCAATTCCAATCTTCCCTCATTTCCACAACCAACTGAAATACCCTTTTCAAATCCTATCATTAGCATTGTATTTGTAGCATGTTTGTTTCTTCACTTTATCATTAAAATTTGTAACTTATTGTGTAATATTTGTTATCATAATTTTACTTTAGTTTTTAAAAGTCTTATTTATTTATTGGTTGATGCTTTATTTCAGGATGAAAGGGAGCTAAAAAGACAGAGAAGGAAGCAATCTAATAGGGAATCTGCTCGTAGGTCCAGATTGCGCAAACAGGTAGTAAATTGCCTAAAATAGCAACATTCTTTAATTTATTTTATAATTATAATTTACTTATATCTTTACACATAATAGAGCATATTTGGAATTCCTTACCTATAATAGCCATGTACGTATATCTATTTACCAATTATAGCAATATGTAACATGAAACTTGTAAACATTCAGTTATATATATTGCTATGATCAGTAAATAAAATGTAAGTACATTGCTATTATGAGTAAAAAACAAAGTACATTACCCATATTGGTAACGAATAATAATATCTACTTTTGTGGGGTCAGGCGGAATGTGATGAGCTGGCGCAACGGGCAGAAGTTTTAAAGGATGAAAATTCTTCGCTTAGAGCAGAAGTGGGTCGCCTTAGAAGCGAGTATGAGGAACTTCTTGCTCAAAACGCGTCTCTTAAGGTAACTATATTAATTAAATTACATATAACATTAATTAATTAATAATTTAATATACAAATCATATTCATATCAATATATTAATATTAGTAAATTAGTAAAAGAGTAAAACATTGTTGTATAAATTAATAAAAAGGTAAGATATTGTGTAATAACTACACACATATTTTTTTTTTTACAGGAACGACTAGGGGAAACTCCCGGGCAAGAAGACTTGACCTCTGATGGGACCGAACAACAAACGGGCAGCAAAGATCATCCGGGCAGGCAGATAGAACTTGCCCAAAGTCATCATCAATGAACTTCCACCTTTCCCAAGTTGCCCGGGAGCTTAACTTAACGAAAAATTAGCAAACAAAAAAACCGTGTTTTACATAGTAATAGAGTTCACATTAAGACCGGGCAGATTGGACCAGACTATCTGGTCCTGGTCCGGTCTGGCTAGACTCAGACTGCTCTGGCTAGATTCAGACCGGTCTGGCTAGTGTCTTAGATATGCAAAATAACTATCAAATTAATTGTTGTCATCCAATGTTGTTGATCGGCCTATCTTTTAAGGCCCGATGAGCCCGGATGATATGTAGAACGGTAGTGTGAAATTACTCCCGTACCCTTTGTATTGCTAAATAGGGTGTTGGTATCTAATTGGTTTTCAACATTTTATGTACTTAAATATGATCAAATATGATTGTGGTTTGTGAGTTGCATTTGGGTTATTTGAATGCTTTGGTTAGATCGATGTTATCTTTTAATAAATTATGGTTGAATTAAGAAAGTAGTTTCTATCGATACTAAAAAAGTTGTTATTGTGTTGATTTTAGTTAAAATGTCACATTAGTCCTTGGGCTCACTCAAGATCAATTATTAAATGCACTGTTTTGTACTAGATTCTACATTAAACCAAAGATGTGAGACACTAGCAACCATATACTCACATTTGATTAAGTCATTGAATTACATTTAGATTTAGTCAAAAAAATAAAAAATATAAGTTTGACTTGTATAATGTTAGTTTGATCTAAAACACGACGAATGACAAATTTGAAGGGGTAACATACCTTGTCTATGTTGAATTTTATTTAGTCAAGATATGCTGAAAGTTTTAACTTACTATAGCCCTCCATAACCCTCTCTCTTGCCTTGTAAATTTTCAAGTAAAGTGATTCTTGAGGCCTCTTAAAAAGCTTAAGTAGTTGTGCAAAAGACATTAATTGCACAATGCTTGATTATCATGTGAAATTATTTGTGTAAAGCTATACGTTGGATCAAATAATTTTAAAAGAAAATGACTACTATCTTCTCATACCAATGGGATTCTTGTTGCTGCATGACTACACGATCCTTCGCTTATCCAAAATTTGATATTAATACACCATACTTTCAATCAATCTTTTCTAACAATATCATTTGATGGTGGTTAATTAAAAAAAAGTTTAATTGTAGAATGTTAAAAACCAACATATATTTAAAAATAACTAGAGGGGTTACCCGCGCGTTGCGCGGGACAGAATGTGTTTGTTTTCGGAGACAAATAAGGAAGTACATCGCATAAATTGGTATCCAAATTAAAGTATGTTGCTATTCTGTGTAATTACCTGATATACAAAGTAGAAAACATTTTTTATGCCAACTTTGATGTTGTAGAAGCTATATGGATGACAATTTCAATAACCTGTTGCTGGACCTACAATTTATAATAGAAAAACAATACACAAATAAGAAACTGGAGTCTAATAACTTATACATAAATGAAAAGAGTCTAGTTTTTGCATGGGTTGGAATGGTCTTAGTTTTTTTGTTAAATGTGTACATTGCTAAATGTTGAATATGTGGAAGTTATTCATATAGACTACATAGCAAAGGCATACAAATGATGATTAAATAGCAAAAACATAAATTTTCAAAAGTACGCATCTGGTTTTTGCATTTGCCGGCATCTGGTTTTTGCATTTGCCGACTTAAAGTGCTTAAAAGTAATATCTCTGGGTGACTTCACCGCTTTCCTTTTTCCCTGCATAATAAAATAATTAAACTGTTAAATGTAATAAATATTAATGTACTTTCGTTAATATTTTTTCTATTACATCAATACTTTCATTTCTTTCTATTTCAACATTGTACTTTGAAAAATCTATCCAATTAAAATAATGTCATCCAAAACAAAGCAATTTTCATTGCAATATTTGAATAGGATTCTCAAAATACAATACCATAATAAGAAAAAGAATGTTGTAATAGAACAAAATGGAAATAGGATCCTATAATTTAAAAAAAAAACAAATAAATAAATAAAAAAGTACGTTGCTAATTTTTTGTATTTAGTTAGCCCTAAGTTTTTACAGAATTCAAGATCATATATGACATAACTAAGCTCTTTTTTGCTCCATAAACGCAAGATAATGATTAAAAATTATCCGTAGAAGAATTACCTCAAAAAACGATTGTTGTTGTAGTTGGTGGTGGTGGTGAGGCTGGGCGGTTGGTGGTGGTGGTGGTGGTGAGGCTGGGTGGCAACACCCAGCTGCATCGGGATATTTATATTTATATTTATATTATTATTATTGTTATTATTTATGTTCTGATCTGTTTACCATTCTAAACCTGTCAAGTGATACACACGCATCTTTGTTTGGTTCCAAAAGCATAAACTGAGCTCTTAGGTAAACCAATTCATCCTCTATCAGGGATTTTGAGAGTGCCTTCAGAATTATAGTTTCCAAAAAGCAAACTATAAAAACTAATGTAAAAAGAAAAAAAGAAAATAGAAACTTTAAAGTGTTGTCTAAACCACAAAAGAGTGTTCTTCCATCTGGGTGAAATGTAACTCATCGTACCCCTGTTGCCTGGACAATCAATAAAAAAATTATAAAAGAAGGATTGTGGGCCCACGTGGATACACACAGAAGTTTTTAGGTGTATACCTCAGGCCGAGTTGTTCCAATCAATTCGAAGGTTTCCAAATCCCAAAATTTCACAGTTGTATCTGATGAACCTGGAATCAACATACATAATGTCATCAATAAAATTATAGAAGAAGTGAAGATTGTAGAAGCCATGGTCGGATGGATACAAACCTGACCATCAGGGGTAAATCTAGTTGTAGTAATTGCTCGTTTATGAACTTTATATGAAAAAATGCATCCTTTCTTTCGAATATCCCATATCTTCAAATTAGTATTCATGGAACCTGATGCAAGAAACTCACCAAAAGGATGGAATTCCAAGGCAGTGCAGTAGGATCGGTGTCCATTAAGTGTTCAAAACACTGCATTTGAAGAAAAAGTATTAGGCATCGAGAAAAAAAGTACTACAGACTTGAGATGATTACATTAAAAGTCATAAATACCCTTTGTCTCTTCTAGCTCTCAGAGCTTCACCAGGCCAGAGGATGTTCCAGCAGCCACCAAATTCATATGTCATATTAATTTTCTTTTTAGTAGATAGAGGTAACAAAAGAAATATATAAATTATGTATAATGTTGGTAGATAAATTAGTTTAACACCGAAATATAATAACCAGTTTGTAGATAGATACATACATGTATACAACCTGCAAATTGACAACCAACAATCACTTCAACGATTGATAGGGAACAACCTGCTTTGATTCCCATATATTCCAATAACACATTAGTAACTTTAAATTGGAAAAAAATAATAATAATGAATATCACAATAACCTGGATGATAGAACCTTTCAAACAAAGATTAAGTATTGTCCATCTATAACCTCGAATTCAACATTCCATTTCAATTTTTAGTAATCTGGTTTCCATATGTCAGAAATCAACTTCCCTGTTTGAAACAAAGAAGCTTCAGCCATAGGACTCTTTGCAGCCGCCGCCTTAAAGGCCTCAACAGGTCTTTCAGCTTCACCAATCAAAACACTAAAGAAAACCAAAAAATTAAGGTTTTTCAAGAAACCTCAAAAGGGTAACCAAGTTTTAAAAGGTGAACTCATTACTCACTTCGCTCTTAAAACAACTTCACTAATCTTTGGGTTGGATCTGAGGATTGTTGGAATTTGGAAGTTAAATATCAGAATTTCAGAATAATCACCATGCACCTATCACACCAAATGTAAATGATAACATTACTTTATTTATTTGATTTTATTTAATGCAAAAAGAATTCTGGAATATGTCCAACCAATTCATTTAAACTTTATTGGAATCTGTAAGAATTGCAATATTTATATCTTTTTTATTTAATGCAAAAAGAATTCTGGAATATGTCCAAGCAATTCCATATAAACTACTAATTGGAATCGACCTTTTGGATCTATCAAATAATGTGATCAGAGTTAACTGTAACAATTAACTGGTGAAGAATCAATATGATAAAGTAGTAAAAATCACCTTTTGGATCTATCAACTATATACCTTTAAACCGTGAAGGACAAATGATCGTTTTACCATTCTCTATAGATATTCTGGCAAAAAACAACTGACTGTTTGATTTGATAATCATTATAAATCATAGTTTATTTTCTATAAATAACAATACATATTAGAATATGATTTTTTAAAAAGATCACCTTGTTGCATCAAATCCTCCCATGTAGCAATACCTTGATGCCCTTACACCACCATCTGGGCCCTACAAATGAATTAAACAAAAAGATTTCATTTTTTTTTTATAAATTATAGCCCATGAAATCTGTTAATAATTAAAAAAAAACAAAAAAAATGTTTAAAACCTGGGCCTGACAAAGTCCAAACTGAAGAAGAAGTTTATTTTTTTCCAGCAACAAAACAGTGGCTTGCAGCATCTGTAGTGAGTAAAGAAGCAAAATGTATAAGATTCACAAAAGGGGTTTTGTAACATACACGTTTTGAAATCGTGTTATGTAATTTGAAAAGTTAAAAATATCATGAAATATTATGTGAAATTGAGTGTTGAGTTCTAACAGATAGTTTTTACTAGAAAATGAAGTAAAACTATGTTTAGAATCACTCATAAAATATTGGAAGTCTTATGAGATTCCAATTAAAAGCCAATTAGTGAAATTTAGCGAAAATATAAAATTTGAAATAAGTAAAATTTTATTATTGAAAGTTGTAGATAATCTCGTTAGAAACATGTAGGCGAAAACCTCATCGAAATCCGAGTTATAACGAAGAAGTTATGACCAATCAAAGATCTGCGATAAAACCGGCACGGTGCCGAATGACGTAAAAAGTGAGTTTTTGATAAACTACTTTTTAGCCTTAGTGATCTAAATGAAAGTCGTAGTAATCGTTAAACCAAGAATTTTGATAAAAAGAACGCCAAAATCTGACTTCGTATGAGGAAGTTATGATTTTTACAAGTTTCAGCTTAGCAGTAGACAGCTAAAAACTCGAATTTTAGATTGAGTGATTTTTAGCCGACACAACCTAAACGAGAATCGAAGGTCTCGTCATTAGTAGTACAACGGTAAAAAGTCTGACGAAAACGGACGTCGGATGAAGAAGTTATGAATTTTTAACGGATTTAGCAGTCCCGGTCTGTTAAAAATAATAATATAAAAATAAAGTCAAAATTTTCCAACGAAGTCAAAACGAAAGTTGTAGAGCATAATTTTCTCTACGCATGCATATAAAGAACGTCAAAAACAGAGCCCGTATGAGAAAGTTATGGGTTTTACAAGATTGGGCACATTTTCATTTAATTTTCGCATGAATAGTGTTGATCCACGTGGCATCTTCTGATTGGACCGCAGCCTCGCGTGGCACCCTCTGATTGGTCCGAAGTCGTCACCCCTTTCCCCATTGGACCGAAGTCCGGTCCACTAAGAGGCTTCCATCTGTCCGAAGTCGATGACGCGTCTGAGGAGCTGGTGGCTCGCAAGCTCGCCCCGTGTCACCCTTCCGAGCCTCGCACCTGGTCGCCTCGCATGCGCGACTTCTGGCCTCCGAACCGAGCTCTGGCTGCCGCGTGGCCTTCGCAGCTGCTGACCCTCCTAGCCTCGGATCCGAAGCTCCGGATCTCCTCCCCTATAAATAGTGGCCTTGCGAGATTAGCCGGGTATTTTGAGAATTTTGCCATTTCTCACCCATTATTCCATATTTTTAATATTTTGACTTCCCCCGAAGCCCCGGGATTAATTCCAATGCCCGAAACACGCCCCGAGATTCCCGAGAAGCCCGGAAAATTTATCTTTTCGGTTTCGAAGCTCTACCTTCGCAGAGCCCGGTTTTCAACGACGAAAGTCATATTTAGAGCCGAAGTGCTGCCCAAATTATTATTTTGATCCCCGGTTAATTCACGTTGAGTTTAATATGTAGAAACAATTGTATGTTATGTGTTATATGTGCTATGTGCTTTTCCATGTTATCATCTCGAGTTGTTGTATCCGCTATTTTTATAGCAAGGCTGTACCTCTGACTTGAAGTGTATGACATAGGCATCACTTGGGTATTGGTATGAACCGTTGACCATGAAGTGTATGACATAGGCATCACTTTGGCTTCGGTAGAATGTTATTCCTAAGTATTTTCCCGTGTTATTTTTATTTCTGCTATTTATGATAGCAAAGCTATACCTTTGACCATGTGATCAGTTTAAGAACTCAGATTCACAGTGGTACTGGTATGTAGCCTCTGGCCATGTAGAGCATGTCTCCCAGTAAGTGAATGACTCTATTCTATGGCATTGGCATATGGTTAGACAGGGCGTGAAAACCTGAAATCTACCTTAATGTTAATCAGAAATTGTTTGTCTTCAGTGCCATTTGGGCCGAAGCGTTATTGATGTTTATCAAGTATGGAAATTGTTATATCTCATTGATTGTATATCTTTGAATCGAGTCATTGATTGATATGGAAAGCTTATCACATTATGCCTTTGTTGTTCCTTGCTCCTATTTGCTTCTGCCATATTGGTATATATATGGCATAACGTTATATTGTATCTATTATTGAACTCACTAAGCGTTATCGCTTACCCCTCCCAATGTTTTAACATAATGCAGACAATAAGCACCCAGTATAGTTGGAAGACTTAGAATAGTTGTAATATTATTTTTGTATTTTGGTTTAGGTTTGTATAGATTTACAATATCCCGGGTAGTCATGTAAAATCTTAAAACATAGTCGGTTTGTATCCAATCTTTTGTAATGACTTTATCAATGTAAAAAATATTATTTTATGAATATGCATGTAGCATGTTTTGGAGTAACTATATTGTCAAGTATGAAAGTTTGGGTCTTTCAGAAATATGAAAGTATAGAAAGGGGTTCTTTCAGGTTTCCAAAAGTTGAACCACCAGAAATAGGAACAATACAAATAAAATTTTCAAAGATTCGATCTTTTTGTCTAAATGTTTCCAAAAATACCCTTCAAGCCATAAAATAAAACTTACAGCGACAGGGCCTTCAATCCTCATGAAGGGTATACCGACTTGCATTACTAAGGCGAATAAACGGTGCAGAAAAGAAAAGCTGTATAACAAATAGCATTCAAAAGTGCATCAGTATATGGAAGCAAGTAGATATTATGGTTCTTCTATCCATTTTCATCCAATTGATTTAAATCTGAATATGGTGAATACAGTTAAAATTAATGATGAAACACCAACAGTTACCTCAACCAAAAACAAAGGAAACCCCCAAATAATGGGAAGACATAAGAAGTAACAAAGCCTACAAACAGAGGAAGAAAACATACGAAGAAATGGTCTGATAATAGCAATAAACGAAAATAGGGCTCATCCTTTTACCTGGACCGTCTAGGGTTTAATCTGGAAAGAAGTAGAGTTGAAGGGTCGATGAAAAGTAGGGAATCGTAGAACTGGAACTCGAAATAACAGTATTAGCTGCAGCACGATTGAATCGATAGATGATGGTAGTGGATGACTTTTCTGGAAAACATGACAAAAGCGAGAACAAATTTCAGTTGGCGGTGATGGATATCTCAAAGGGGAGATAAGACGGTGGAGAAGGACCGAGAAGCAGATCGCCTTCTTCAACGATGGTGGCAACGAACGACCACTTTGTCTGGTGTGATAGGGGTGGGGGAGAGAAAGAAAGCGGTGATGAGAAAGGAAGAAGAAAAGAATTAGATTAGACGAAACCACAGAAAAATGTGGATCGCCACTGCTGTAGTCGCTGCTGCTGCTGCCGCCAACGACCTCCATCTACCGCCGCCGCTGCTTCTACCATCGCAGGTAACAATCGCTGCCCTACCCTCGTTGATTTCCCGCTGATTGATCAGACGAAACCAAGAGACATACCTGCAATCGTGAGATGACAAACGAAAGGGACAACCGAACCGTGTCCGGCTCCACTGTGCCGAAAGACGACCTAGAAAACGCAGAGCATCCATGGAGAAGCCGAGATAATGACGGTGGGAGAAGGAAAGACAGCGAGAGAGAGGGAGAGCCGATAAAAGCAGTCAGAATCAGTCTGGGAGAGGAAAATGAAGCTGTGAAAGGATGGATGTAGAAGGAACCGGATGTAGAAGGTCCTGGAAGATGGAAAGAGGCGGTGGAATGTGGGATTAAACTAACCCAGGTATGCTAACTAACCTAAGGAACAGTACCTGTTCCTAACTTTCATATCTTTAATATATATATATATATATATATATATATATATATATATTAATGTGGAGGAATCTTATGTTTGACTTGGTGTCAAACTCAACGAGACTTTTGACCAATATAAAATCCATAAATTCGTTTTCATTATATGTGTCAGATCAATTTACAACAATCATTTATTTTAGACCTACAACTTTTGTTGACTAATAATCCTCGTTTATCACCAATAAATACTATCCATATTGGTTAGTAACTAAATATAACTATGATTAAAACATGTGACCCTATGAGCTATGAAAATATTATATTCATTTTATCTTTAAAACATTTGTATAATTATAAATTATTATCATTACTTAAAAATTAAAATGAAAACGATATTTAAAAGTTAGGCGTATTTAACTTTTAACGCACTCCTTCAACTCACCGTCCACCCAAATATACACAAGAAAGAGAAAGAGGAGAGAGAAAGAGAAAGAGAAAGAGAGGCTTTGTAACAAAGGCTGTATCTACGTATTATATGATTAACAATGAAGAAAAGCCATTAAAGCTGTGTACGCCTTCCTCCCCCTATCATCATAATCGCACATGGAAATCTCATTCCTCAACCACATCAATCTCACGTAATCCATTCTAGGGTTTTATGTTTAACCAAACTACCTGTAGATCTGCCTTTTCGTCCATCCCGATTTTCATTTCTACGTTTTTTTCTGATTCAAACAGGTGCGTCTATTTCAATTATCTGTAATGTTTGTAATTTCTTATACGAGTATGTAACTTTGGAGGATTATTTGCGTCTGCATTATTCGGTTCATCTTCTTCTCTTTTGTTGTTATTGAAATGTGTAGGGATTTGGTAAAGGGGATTGATCTGCATGCTCGAGAATCGATTGATTTCCAGATTTATCTGATCTGAACCGGACTTCTATTTGAAAACGCTTCAAATCTCGCTTCAATTCGAAGTTTCCCTCATTTTTAGGTATGTATCTTTATAATGCTAACATTTGGGGAGGTTGTGAATTGGGAATTGGAAATGATAATATAAGAGATGGTGTTACCTTCTGTGTTCATCAGCGTTTGTAACATGACGACAAACAGAATTGCAATTAGAAAGTGTATATGGAGAATTGGCTTGTTGGGGATAAGGGTTACTTGTCTTTTATTGTATCATATCTAACTAATTTTGTTTGTTTGTTTGTTCCATGATTGAAGCCTTTCTCTGTAACTAAACCTCAAAGAAAAGTTGGCTCCCCAACGCAGATTACAGCGCCACATGGGCGGCCAGATGCAACAGAGAAATGCTTCTGCAACTTCTCTGTATGATCAATCTGCAGATGGTGGGTCCCATCACAATGCAGGTTCTGCTAACGATGCTGGAGATGCTGTAATGGCAAGATGGCTCCAGTCTGCAGGTCTACAGCATCTGGCCTCACCTGTGGCATCAAATGGGATTGATCAACGCCTCCTACCCAATCTCCTCATGCAGGTATTTTCAGATTTTCTTTAATATTGAATTTGATCAACGCCTCCTATCCAATCCCCTCATTTACCTTTTCCTTTCATTTCCCCATTTTCTCCTTTTTTTTCAAACTTATGATCTATGAGAATAAAACTTTGATGCATACCAATAAGTTATGTGTCAACAGCCTCTTTCTTCAACCCCCTAAGGAAATTCTTGTGGTGTGTTGAAGTATATACAAACTCTATTCCATTTGGTTATGATGTTTGTTTAATGTGGTGTGTTATTACGTCTGTTTGCAGGGGTATGGAGCACAATCTGCTGAAGAAAAGCAAAGGCTTTTTAAATTAATGAGGAACCTTAATTTCAATGGTGAATCTGGTTCTGAGCCTTTCTCTCCAACAACTCAAGGCTCTGGAGGAATTGGTGCATCAGATGGTTTTTATTCTCCGGATTTCAGGGGTGATTTTGGTGCAGGGCTATTGGATTTACATGCTATGGATGACACTGAGCTTCTTACAGAGGTATGACTTTCATTGTTCTATTATACCTTTTAGCCCTTATGCAAGTTGATAAATGACATCTAGTTGATTGTTTTTAAGGATGTATATTTTAAGGTCAACATGAATGAATCCTGCATAAGTTCTTTTTGTGTTTGGCGACTCATATCACAATCATATTTGATTTTTTTTTTTTTCAGAATGTTGACTCAGAACCATTTGAGCAATCACCTTTTATGCCTGCTGTTACTAAAGCAGTCGAAAATGACCAAGATACCCTTCCATACCGCCAACAAAGAGGACAAACAGATGTAGATGCTTCTTTTGGATTACCAACACTTGAAAAAGAAATCAGCTCAAGGGAAAATAATGTTGCCAAGATTAAAGTCGTGGTATGTAGCTCTCATTGTATCAACCATATTATCTATTATTATCCTTATAGTTATAGTTTGAAATGACAAAAACTAAAAGTAACTAATTGTTAGAAGAGTATATCACTATACCCCTTGTGTCATATTTTTATTCTTGCATATTAAAATGGTTTTTGGGAGTGAAAAGAAATTATTTTTATTTCAGGTGCGCAAAAGACCACTGAATAAGAAGGAACTTTCTCGCAAGGAGGATGATGTTGTGAGTGTATGTGACAACAGTCTAACTGTTCATGAACCCAAGCTTAAGGTTTGTATATACGAGTGTTAAGATGGAATTATATAAATCTTCATGTGTGACATTAGAAACTAACATTTGACTTTTTTTCAAAGGTTGACCTTACTGCTTATGTTGAAAGGCATGAGTTCTGTTTTGATGCTGTTCTCGACCAGCAAGTAACCAATGATGAGGTAATTCTTTTTTTTTTACCTTAAAAAAACCCCAAAGTACAAGCTTTCATTCAAATATGCTCCAATTGGCTTTTGCTACTAAATGTTTAATATATTTTTTTTTTGAATTTTTTTGAAACAGGTATATCGTGAAACTGTACAGCCGATCATTCCTATCATATTTCAGCGAACAAAAGCAACTTGTTTTGCTTATGGCCAGACAGGTATGCTTGTTCTTTTATGTTAAGGGTTTGCTTCTTTTTGTTTATTTATTTATATTTTTGGTTTTGAGTTGAGGTAATTTGAAAATATTTAACTCGTATTTTATATTGCAGGAAGTGGTAAGACATACACAATGCAACCATTACCTCTTAGAGCTGCAGAAGATCTTGTTAGATTATTACATCAGCCAACATATCGTAATCAAAAGTTCAAATTATGGCTAAGTTATTTTGAAATTTATGGTGGAAAACTCTACGATCTACTAAGCGATAGAAAGTCAGTATTCAGTACCCTTGTTTCATAATTAAAATCTTGAAATAAAGGATGAGAAAGAAAAAGCAAGTTTTAATTTTTATTTTTTAAATTTGGTGTTATGTAGGAAACTTTGCATGAGAGAAGATGGAAGACAACAGGTTTGCATAGTTGGATTGCAAGAATTTGAAGTTTTGGATGTACAAATTGTTAAAGAATACATTGAAAAAGGGAATTCTGCTAGAAGTACTGGTTCTACTGGAGCTAATGAGGAGTCTTCAAGGTCACATGCTATATTACAACTAGTTATTAAAAAGCACAATGAGGTAAAAGATACGAGAAGGAATAATTATAATAATAATAATAATAATGATGGAAATGAAAAGGGTGGGAAAGTTGTTGGAAAAATCTCCTTTATTGATCTTGCTGGCAGTGAAAGAGGTGCTGATACTACCGATAATGACCGACAAACACGGTACTCTTTCTTAGTAAATTACAATTTTGGTCCCTAAAACTTTTCTTTTGCAGTTTTAGTCCTCCTTATTTGTAATGTGTTTGTTACAGGATTGAAGGAGCTGAAATCAATAAGAGTCTTTTGGCTCTGAAGGAGTGCATTCGTGCACTTGATAATGATCAGCTTCATATCCCGTTTCGTGGGAGCAAACTGACTGAAGTTCTTCGCGATTCGTTTGTTGGAAACTCAAGGACTGTTATGATATCTTGCATTTCACCAAATGCTGGTTCTTGTGAACACACTCTCAATACCTTGAGATATGCTGATAGGTATTGTTTTTTACTCCAAAAAAACCAATTTCTTTGATTATGTATCTGATATTACTTTACTACATGATAACAAACAACAGAGTTAAAAGCCTTTCAAAAGGTTCAAAAAAAGATCAAGCTGGAAGCTCACAAACAACTACAAAAGACTCTTCATCAGCAAACACACTAAGCCTCTCTGATAACGAAGACACAAAAATAGTATTTACAGATACAGGTAATAGAAGAGGTGCACAGCCACAACGAGACAGCATCTCTTCAGATTTCGATAAACAACAACCTCTTCCTCCATCATCCTCAAATTACACCCGCGATGACACCTGGCAGCAGGCTTCTGGTTTCGAAAAGGAAAGAAACGCGTATTTGACTTCAAATGATACAGAAGAAACAACAGTCCAAAAAGTGTCACCACCTCGAAGAAAAAGTGGTGTTAATTGGCAGAAGAAGGATAGTAGTGATGTTTTCTCAAGTGTGGGTAGTAAACAACCCAGTTATATGATGACGTCATCAAAACAAACCGAAATTGAACAGCCTCATGATGAAAATATCAATGAAATACTCGAGGTCAGTACTAGTAATTAAACGTAAGAAACAGGGAATGGTTTTTTTTTTTTTTTTTTTTTTTGACGATGTTTGATGTTTGTAGGAAGAAGAAGCTTTAATTGCGGCACACAGGAAAGAGATTGAAGATACAATGGAAATAGTCCGTGAAGTAAGGAGAAAATTGTTTAAATATTGTTGCGTGTATAAAAATTAAAAAAGAATAGACAGACTACTTATTAGTTATTACTTACTACATACAATCTTGTTGGAAATCAGGAAATGAAACTGCTGGCAGAAGTTGATAAACCAGGAAGCCTTATCGACAACTACGTGACTCAGTTAAGTTTCGTGCTGTCACGCAAAGCAGCAAGTCTTGTGAGCCTCCAAGCTCGCCTCGCCAGGTTCCAGCATCGCCTCAAGGAGCAGGAGATTCTCAGCCGTAAGAGGCTACCTCGTTAACACCCACCCACACCCCACTCCACTTTCCCTTGTAATCTCTCTCTCTCTCTCTCTCTCATGTGCAAAAAAGACGTAAATGTCCTCAATCAGCCTGATCATTTTCATTGTAGGAATCGAACGAGAGTGGATTGTGATGTGAGTGTGGAGATTTGAAATGATTGCATTTCTTTTGGTTTTGGTTTTGGTTGGTTAAGTTTTGGTTTGAATGAATGGTGTTTTTGTGAAGAAGTGGAAAAAAAAGAAAGAGAAAAACACAAGGTATTGCTTGCTGCTCTGCTCTGCTGGTTTGGTTTTTACTTTTTATATATGTAATGCTGAATTACACCTTCCTACACCATCAAACTTATTATAATTATTATTTCATATTATGTATAGGGCTAAATGCAAGAAATAGCAATGTACTTTTTCACGTTCATTTTTCTTTTCTGTTGTTATGCAATGTAACGATGTTTTTATTATATCTTTTGTATTATCAGGTTTTTTTTTTCTTTACATTGAAAAATCTGCGAAAAACTAGTGTTAGTCCAGGTGGACGGTTGACCGATGTAATAAAAAAAATCTTTTTAAGTTGTTTTATATCATAATTATATCAATTTTTACCATGCATTGTAGAATTAAAAATCTACCCAAATAAATAACTTAATGTAACAGAATAGCTGACAACAACAGTTGAAGTAAAAATATTTTCATATCGTAAGAAAAATAGAAAATTTAAACAATATGTTGTAACTTACTTGAATGTCTTCACCCTCTTGTAAAGTAGAGATAGAGATATGCATGTTACAAATATGATCTTCAGTATTATCATCACCAACCTATTTGTAAATATCGATCACAATAATAAGAAACATACCAAAAAATATAATCTAACTTTATAGAAATAACATAAATTAACCCATATATTCTCACTTCCTTTTTCGTCTTCCGCATCATTGACATCATATATACATTTTTGAAGACCATCAATTTCTTTGTTATCACAAACATCTTATGTATACAAAATCAAGTACATTGCTCTAATCAAGAATTTTGGTAAAGTACAATGTTATTTCTTAAAATTTTGGTAGTGTACATGGCTATTTATGGTGAACAAAATAATGCGATAAAAGAGTTCTCCAAACCCACCACTTGTAGAGTCTTCTTTTTTTATTTTCCTTCCTTCACCGTCAAAACCACATTACATTATTCAATAATACAATCAGAATTAGATTACAAAAAGAAATCATCTGGTCGATGGCAATAAGAAATCTTGGATTGAATTAGAGTGAATGACCATATTATCCTTATTTTACAAAATTAAAGGTCTTTTGTTTTTATCATGACAAAATGGATCAAATTTATCTCATTATTCAATGTTGTTATCGCTTATTCCGTATGTGTTTAATTTGAGCCATATAACCAGAATATTAAATCATAATAATTTGTATTCACACTCACAAAGTTTGTGCCTGTAACTCCAGAAAACGCAAAGCAACCTAATTTTTGACAATAAATACCCAAAAGAAAAAAAAACAAAAATCGACGCAAATATAGTAACCATGTGCTCAAATTAAATGTTCTGCCTATTATATCCGCCTGATGGTCGGGGATGTACGGGTTGATATATATATATATATATATATATATATATATATATATATATATATATATATATATATATATATATATATATATAGAGCTAGGTTCAGGTGTTTAAACTAATTATTGTGTTATTGTATGAGTAAATGTAGGTCAATCATTTCAAAAGGGTAAATATGTAATCTTATATTTAATTAATTATGGTAAATATATAAACCAATTAATATCCCTTTAATTTAGGAATATCAGTTTTAAAACCTAATTTCTAGTCCGCCTCTTCCCTCCTCTCTTATATTCATCGACTCCGGCAGATTCAAGGAGGGCATCGTAACCTGAGGATCACGTCCCCGTAGCGTCGTGCCAGTCGCCACCTGCCTCACAGTCAAAGGAGCCGAAGATGTCCTCAACAAGCAGTTCGCTTTCGAGCTATCTACCCGATCCGATACTATGTACTTCATAGCCGATTCTGAAAAGGAGAAGGAGTATTGTACCAATTCAATTCAACGCTCAATTGTTCAGCACTCGAGGTCTGGGATCTGACAGGTAACTGAGAGGAATGGTAATGGGCTCCGACACCAGCCGCCGGTGGAGGCGGACATCGGAGCTTTGGGAAGTGGCGTCCGTTCTGCTACTCGGCCAGGCCGTCTCTTTTATATTGGCTCTTCTGAACTTCACTTCATCTCTAACCGCCAATCTTGGTAAGATAATTCTATCTCGATTTAGATGAATTTGTTTCCTTACTCGCATAGTCAATTTTGTGAAATTCGAAATGAAATATAAACTGGACCAAAGGGGGGGGGGAGGTATTATTGAATCTGGTTTTATATAAGTTGTGACAACTCGAAATTTCCATCTTGTACAACCATTCACCTCATTAGAAGTCAGATTCGTTTTGCTAACTTCTAAGCTTTTTGGAGTCGTTTTGAGTGTTCTAAAGCCTAATACTCTAGGAAGAAATTATAGGAAATATACGTTAGAGCTTGTTATACGTCATTTACATCTCAAAACTCCAAGAGTTTGGAATTTACGGCCCAAACATGGAGTTTACGGCCGTAAACTCTAAAGAGTACAAATATGACACTTAGTCATTTTTGGCTCAGTTTTCACTTCCAAGCTCAAGAACACCCACATTCTCTCTCAAGTATCATAAGAACTTCTTCCAAATCTTTCAAAAATGTAAGTGTTTCTTGCCTTGATTAGTTGATATCCTTCATCATCTAGTAGTTATACACGATTTCATCCATGAAATCTTGTCTTTTTCATAGATCTTCAAGTGTTCTTCATTTCACCAAGAACACACACTAGTGTTTTTGGACCTTAAACACTCTTGCAAGCTTCCTATAAGTAAGTACACTCCTCCTAACTAGTTATTTGCTTAGAATACATGTTAAACCATGGAAAAACACCAAATATCCCCAAGAACACATGGGTTTACGGTCAAGGCATCTCCTTGAACCGTAAACACCATCAAGTGGTGTATAAATGCCACCAATGCCTTCTATGGCTTAGATATTGGACTAGAACCTTGCATGCATGAGCCAAAGACCCTAAATCACGAAAAGGTAGGAGTGGCCATGAGTTTACGGCCGTAAACTCATGGGTTTACGACCGTAAACTCCAAGGGAGTGGTCCAGGAACCGTAAACTCCAAAGAAGGGCCATTTTGAGCCCTAGTCCCTTCCTAAGCCTTGGATACATGTTTAGATTACTTCCTAGTGGAGTATAAGACCTTAAAACACCCAATGGTACAAATTACCATGAGTTTACGGCCGTAAACTCATGGGGAAAATGACCAAAAACCGTAAACTCATATGGTGTTACCATATGAGGAGTAAACTCCAATGTGAGGCCATACTCTCTTTAGATGCAACCCTTTAGTACTCCTAGCACTTGAAACAAAGTGTTTCCATGTATTAGGGTGTCTTTACTTGATTAATTAGTTATTAA